TGTTTTATGTCTGATATCATTTTGTCACTGGAATAGTCTGAAAATGGTTGCAGGCTGTATGATCTTGAGTGTATATATGGATATATCCGTGCTTTCTTCTTGCACTTTAGGAGTTTCACTGGAGTCAGCGTATCTACTCATGTGTGCAGAATGTAGCAGCTGTAAGATCAAGGCCTATATTTTTAATTTTCTCATTAATTAGTCTCCCTGTTATCCTAGAAGGACCTTCATATCATTAGTATGATTACCGTGGCAATATTTTTGTGCTGTAAAAAAGATAATTCAAAACTGGCATCCTTTATTTGCCAGATCTTGGTTTGTATTTGCATTTGTCATAGAAGCGTGGTGCAGCTTGAAGAGAGATTCACAGGCCAGACCGCAGGAGAGGTCCATGGTCGTTGGCCACCCGGAGAACCAGAGCATGCACCCAGACTTGCATGGCAAGAACCATTCGGGGATGTAACAGGGTCAAACCTGGTGCTCGGGGATGTGAAACGTGCACCAATATGTGAGAGTGGCAAACAAGATGTGAGCCTGAGGTGTTGACCCTCTGCCTGTTTTATTTCTACTCCACAAAGGAGGAGGTTGTTTGAAGGAACCTTACTGTGACTGTTGACACACTATGGATGATATAAGTACAGCTTTCTCAGTAAGGAAAGCAATTTTATTAATAACATCTATGTTGGAGGAGTAGAAGTAGACTGGTTTGTACTGGGTTATGCAGAATTTCTTCCTTTAACTAAAAATACATTATCTGCAGTTCTGTTTTCTTCTGGAAAACGTCTTTTTTGCACCAGTTTTTGAGACACTGACTTTAGCCCCAGCTCTAAGTACGTCACTGACTGCTTGTGAAGAAAGGTACTGCTGAAGAGGAGTAGGTGTATGAGCAAACCTGGCACTTATTCATCTCTGAAATAGGAAGAGCCAAGAGGCCAGCAGGCTATTAATATTTTTGACTTGCCATGTTTGTCGCAAGAACAGTGAAAGATGTAAAAAGCCACATGCCTCCAGGGTCTCACAGAGAAAATGGGAAGAATAGTAAAACCTGCTCTGGTGCTGCTGCCGAGAGTTTGTCCTCTGGACTTTCACAGGGATCTTGTCCCAGCCCTCTCCCATCTGACTGCCGGCTTATTATTTATCATATCATCTGCTTCGTTTTGGGGCTGCTACTGCAGCTGGCATATCGCTGCGCATGCTAAATACCTCTCCTTAACATAAAGTGGGCAGGCACTCGCAGAGTATCCGGTTTTCTAGTTGAGTTAGAAGTGCTGCTTGCTCTGCCAGCTTGCTGAGTGTGCTGATTGATCACTGTTTAGCTTGTTTTCTACCAAATATAAATGTGGGTATATATCATTTGGGCGGGGGAATTTTCTTGCTGATCTCAAAGAAAAAGGCCGAGAGGAGAGAGCAAGCACCTGTCAGGCAGTAGTCAGCTTGGCAAGGGAAAGGAAAATATATGGCCAGAAGTAGGTATTTTAGTGTCCGATGTGCTTATTTTGTTTCTACAGTGTTACTGTAATTCTCAAACTCCTGTTTTTCCAACTGACTGCCATGCCGGGGAAAAGAAACAGATGTTCTCTTTTGTCTTTTGATGTGGCTCAAAGTCATTTACATTTGCTGGCCTAAAATGACACGACATGTCATTCGCCGCTTTTTCTATCTCCTTTGGAGTGAGTGACAGATTGCTGTTCAATTACTAGTATGATAGAAAAGCAGATATTGTGAGGACAGCTTTCACCTAAAGGAAGTGCAATCGCCGTTGCTGCAGTAGTGGAAAGAGAAGGATGGCAGATACTGTAGAAGCCATCCAGTGGAAAAGACATTTTTATTATTAATAATGTCATGGGGAAGACTCAAGGGAAATGTGCGGGTCTGGCTTTGCTGCCTGGAGAAAAGGAGAGCCAGGGGCAAATAAAAATGTGGTGGAAAAACTGGCTTGCTACTCTTGTAAAATATATTTTCAGCTCTTTGCCTTGAGCATGTGCTGCTTAAAACCTTTCCATTTGCTCTGCACCCAGTTCCAGTGGAGAGCAATAATTACAGAAAGACTTTTCATCAGTAGAAGACACTCAGTGAGAGGCTCATTAGAAGGGTTTTTTAAAAAGGGAAAAAAACTGTTTGTCAGACACTTTGGGATTAGTCACTTCTCCACCCTATAGTTTGCTTTCTTATCGGTGTATTCGTACGCCTCTTCCTCCCTTTCTCCTAAGATGAGATTCTCCAGGCCGAGCAGAGCTTAACCCTTCCTTCTGCAAGTCATTTACTTGAGGATCACTTGTCCACTCAATTTTTTAGCGTTTCCTTTTCTCTAATTCTATCGAAGTCACTTCACATGCACGGCACATACTTTCAATATGCTGATTGAGATTAATTTTCATGTCACGATCCAGTCAGTCTGTTGGACTGGGTCACAGTACAAGAGGTGAAGCTTCTGCTTAAAGTCTTTCACATCTTTCTTTCTAGAGGAACAAAATGAAGTGTTAGGTGGAAAACATGTTGATAATCCAACATGTAGTGCTGTAATTATCGTTCTATTATGCCAGTTTTAAACAGTGAATCTCCAGTGAAATAATAGACTTAGGGTTAACAAAACGTACTGACGAATATATGCTTTATCTGATAATCTGATGAACCAGATGATCATTTAAACTTTCTTTTGTACTTTAAGTTTGCTCTAAGTAAGTTCTAAGTAAGCTCTTTAACAAGAGACGTAGTTCCTTGGCAATAAACATAAATGAATCCTTGAAATACCTGGTTTTAGCCAAATAACTCCTGGTTGTAGTCATACTTGTTATAATGGATGTAGAAACAAGTATCATCCGGAAATGTAGTTTTACATTGTGAATGCAGTAAGGTAATTGCTGAAATGATTTTCAGTGATATAGCGGTAGTTACCATTTATGCCTGACCTGCTTTTTCTGAATGTAAAGTCTTTCTGTGCAAAGCGAAACATGTTGCACTTGGCCATAATTAAATCCTTTAGGCTTTGGCACTGCTTGTTTCGCAGTGATGCAATATTCTCTTTGGATCTGACCTAACGGTAAAGATTTTTCAAGTGTCGCCGCACTGTTGTGTTACAGGATTGTCTTGAACATACTGTTCCTTTCCACAGCTCCTGAGCTAGGTGACTTTATCCCTTTGAAACACCCTGGTGATGCAAGCGGTTTTTTTCCTTATTTATTAATTGCTTGCTGCAAAGCTTGCAAAGTCGCAAGCCCATGTTTTACAAGAAAAGGGGAGGGGGAGAGAAAAGTTTATCTTCTAGTACAGCTAACTTTCTATTTTGTGTGCAGTCCTCCTATTGTGTGTGGACAGGCATAACGCTGGTTTTGAAAAGAATACTTTTTGATTTCAAGCGGAGCAAGGAAAAACCCAGCTGGTTTTATCAAGCCATTTTGGTCATCCATGTAATGCAATTTTTCACAGGTTAGAGCTCACTAATGTGCTAAGAAATCGCTATAGCTCGTCATCCATTAAGGCTGGTTAAAATCCGTACAAAGAGTTACCAAGCAGGCAGGAGGCCCGAGTCCCCGCTGATGGCCATCAGCCGCTACCTGCCCACCTCTCCCCTCTCAGGTGGGCTGTCAAACTCCTGCTCCATCTCCTCTGCTCCTGAGAGCAGCTCTGTGCAGGGTCAGCCTGGAAATACTTCTCCGCTAGTCCCATCTGCTGGATGCCAGGATGTATTGCCTGCTGGAAAGAGGGAGAGCGTCATACCTCAGCCTTTAAATATTAGCTGAATGCAGCGTGCCACCAGATGTACGTTTGCTTCTGAAAAACATGCGCTCTCTCTGTTTTTCTTCCATCCACCTAATTGCATTTGGGCTACTGCTGTTCTCTTCAACAGACTCCAGCGTTAAGTAAAAGCAAGGTGGTGGCGCAAGGAACTTTAACCGTGTTGCTTTAGAGAAGCTGTAATCAAAAAAACCCAGGAGCCAGAAAAGATCACAGCAAAAAATATGTGTATCATTATCAAGCCATTTACAGGCCAGGGAGTGAATTTCCTTTCTCCCAGTATATATGCTCAGCAGTCAGTTTTTCAAATGCCTCATTAAGGCTGGTACTCAGCTGTTCTCGTCATCTATCTCGCCATGCTGGAAAAGAGGGAGTGTAGCCATCGCATCTGATCCAGCATGCTGCACTGCAGCCTCTAATATTATGATGAAGCTAAAAGAGCCTTCTTCATCATTGAAAATACAGACTTCCTGATATATTTCTAATCAGGCCAAGCAAAGGTTAAGAGAGCTTGATCTCGTGTCCATAGACGTTCCCCAGGGTATTACTTTTCTCAGTGGTAATTCACTGTTTGGTACCTGCCTTCCGAAAGGGAGCTGGAGGGAAGAAAATGGATAATGAATGCGAATGCAAAGTAGTGGAGAAAACTGGGAATGAATGTGAATGTAAAAAGGGGAAAAATGCATTCAATCCTAGCAATCTTACTTTGGTTTATTTTGCTCTCCTCTTTGCAGTTGTTTATGATGCATTTTTATATTTTATGCTAAGTGGCGTTGTGCCTTTTGCTTTAAAGTAAAATTTGGGCGATTCTCCCCCTCCTGTTCTTACCTTCCATGAGCATTGAAGTAGGTTCTGCAAGTCGGGAACACAGCCACTTCAAGGATCTTGTGGAAATGTTACTGGAGGAAAATAATCCTAGAAAAAAATACATAGACTAAGATCAAGCGACAATTTCATCTATTGCAGACAGTGTTTAGGGAAACATAGCTTTATTTGGCATACAGATATTTCCAGTGTGCCTACTGAGATAAAATCTTTAATCTACCCCCCCCTTCCTCAGCTTGAGATGTGAAAATGTGACTGTTTTAAATGTAACTGGTTATGTTTGCAGTTTTTTTCAGTTTACTTTTATATCTCTCCCCTTTTATCATGGTGCCTTGCTGTAAATTAGCAGTTTGTGCTGAATTGGTTACAATTAATATTGCTGCTGCTGTTACCAATAAAAAGATATATCATAAATAATTTTTATGTGTTTTCCTCGATAGGTGGTAGCGGCACAGAGGAGAAGCAAAACACCGAAGAAGCTGAGGCCCAGAGCCGAGAAGCAGGTTTGTACCCAGTTCCTTAAAGGACTTTCTTAGGTTTTATCCACATTGGTGAACAATAACCTTAGTCAATGCTATTGACAGGGAATGTTTGTACATTTTCACCAGATTAGCTCAGGTCTTGAGCAATTCTCCCATTAGAGACCGCACCTCCATTCATTATGAATGAATGTAATGCAGTGCAGGAATG